TTGTTATCTTTTTACAAAAAACCAGCTGAACATGAGAGGTTTTTGGACCAATTTTGTGTTCTCCATTCTTTAAGCACCGGTTTGAGCATCGTTTGAGCACCGGCACCGTTTCAAAAGTACCGATTTGGCACCGGTATCGGATAAAACCTAAACGATACCCATCCCTAATCATAACAACAAAAAATAAATATGTATGTCATACCGAGGAGTATCAGTCGAGGAGTTGCAGGTAGTTGGAGTGTCGTCTGTAATTCAGCTGCTGTGGCATTTGCCTAGGACACAGAGTTATGACTAAATTAATTAACAAAAACATGAAACAAATAAAACTGCTGTCTTCCCCAATAACAGAGACAACAGATACAGGTGTCACCTTTGAAGAAATCCAAAACCCTAAAATAACTCACATTTGCAAAAAGAATCAGTCCTCCGAGGGGTTCGGAGAAGTGAGCCATCAGAAGTTGCAGGATGCAGAAGGATAGTTCAAGTTTTGGACCCACTGAGAGGATGGATTGGATATCTGGATTAGTGGACTTGCTGAAGACCTCCAGGATGGTTGGTCCACACTCCTCCATTGCAACCTCAAGAGTGCGAAGCACTTTGATATCAGTGAGCAGCTCGAAATGAGTATAAAGTCCATTGTGTGTGAAAAGATAAGGCCATCGGCCCCTTAAATCTCTAATAGCCGGTACTGGGAGTGCATTTATTTGGCGGCGCTGCAGGTAGAAGGTTACTTTCATGAGTTCTTTTACTTCGTCTTTTTCTACCATGCTTGAGCCATCCTGATGGTAAATTTCTTCCAGTCGCTGGCGTTTTCGCTCCACTGTTTCATTTGTCTCCTCCGGCAGCAGGCCAGGCTCAAATCTGGCGCAGCCATAATTGTTGGTGGATCCTCTTTTCATTCCAGACAAACGGCTGTGGCGAAAGTTGCTGGTCCGTTTCAGGTTATCAATTCGGTTTTTGATTTGAATCACAAGCGAGATGTAATCCTCTTCCAGCAGCTGACCGTTGTCACACAGATCAGCAAAGCTCTGAGGGTACTTACGGACAATGTTTCGGCAGATGGTTACACACTGAGCACGTGTTGGGTTTAGCTCGTGTTTCCTCATTTCATCTGCTAAAATTCTAACCATCTGTCTCCTTGCTGAAGAGGATGGTCTCTTGCCCTCAGCAACCGCTGCTTGAATTTCCATTGGCATGAGGTCCCAGGGCACCTGGAACGTCTCTGCCCAATGTTTTCTGAAAAGGGTGGTTTGCCCGCAGCTTTCTGAGTTGTCATGTTCTTGATTTGAGAGTGGGAGTACACCAGATGAAGTGGAGCAAGGTGACGCTGCAGGACTGCTGAGCAGTGAGCTAGAGGAAGGAATCACTGGCAGGTCCAAAGTAACCAGGTCTGCCTCTGAAAAGGAAAGGGGAAAAAACACACAGTGAGCTCAATTGTCTCTTATACAAGGGTGAGCTTAAAATAAGTTAATAATATATATATTTTTTTAAATACTGCCGGCCGTCAGTCCGACCCCTGAGCCTCCCAGTATCCTCCTCCTATGGTATAATTTTCTAAACCCTACATCTCCTTGTTCTTGAGTTATGGATTCTTAAGGTTTTCAGAAAACTTGACCTCTAACGGTGAGTTCAATTTAACTGGAAATTGAACTAATCCAGGATTTTTAGTAGATGCGCCTATGTCACCCTGTTTCCAAGTTATCATATTCACAAACTTTGGTGTCCAGAATGAAGACAATACCCCACCAGCCTTTTATGAACAACCAAACCAGGAACATGAGAATACAAATACTATCAAAAATCTCACCAGAAGGTTCTGATTTTCCCCAGGATCTGAGGCTCCATAGACATAATGAATCCCCCTTAACTGTTTTTTTTTTTTAACGGAGTAGCGCCTCCATCCAGATAGATACCCCCCTGAATAGCCAAGTTACTCATTATATCTCTAAGGCCTTGGTCAGAAAAACCTAGACATCTATCTAACAGTCAACAGGGTGGTTGCCAGTAGTCTCTGGACGTCGCTGGCAGTCGCTGTGAAAAGCTCCCTCAGCCACAGAGGGTCACCACACAGGTAGTTGATGTTTTATTTGGCAGATTTTTCATCCTGATCCTATTCCTGGAGCTCCCAAGGGATTTGTGTCTCTTTCTGGGATTGAATCAAGGATCGTTTGCTTGTTAGATAAATGTCTAAGCACTACTAAAGACCCATTCATGCAGGTCCGGTTCAGACTGCTGCCCCTGATGTGAACCCAGATAAACACATCCTCTCACATAATGGATGGATCAAGAGCTGCATCATATTAAAAGGTTTTGGTAAAAAACACAGACACTTGGCTGTAGCACTCAGTGGGGAAACCAGCAGTGTTAGAATGACAAAATAAGTTAACAGAAGTAAAAAAACAGTTTTAAAAACTTTCAGTACAATTTTACCATTTCGCTGTACAGACGGATTTAGTGTTCAGGGAATATATATTTTAAGAAAAAGGCTGTTAGAAATGATCAGATATACTACTATAACATTGTATAGAAAAAATAGTGTATTTACGTCAACATTACCATTTTTAAATGCTTCCAGGAGTGTCTGTAATTGAAGGGGAGGCAGCAAGTCAGCAATATCATCTTCAATGACAAATTTTAGGTCCTGGGTAGACTCCACTCCATCACTTAACAGCTTATGAATCAATGACTGTTGAGTGTCTTCAGAAATTAATGGCAAAGCTCTGAGGATGATATCCTTCAGGTCTTCATGCAAGGGTTTCCTTTCATTACTGTGAGAAAAAAGATCCACGACACTCATGAAAATGTTTTCCTCTAAGACAGAATAGACTGAACATTTAAACACACATTTCCATGAAATGATTCTTCAGTAGCTAAATTGGTAGTCAGTGTTGAATAAAAGTCAATGTAATCTGGAACAATCTTGGTTCACATTCAGCATCTCGTTTAGAAACAGGAGTTTTAATAGTGGGTTAGCAATCCAGCATCTCTGTTTCCATTTAAGAATAAATGGAATAACTAATGCTTCCTGCATAAAGGTTATCATTAGCAGCTGTGCAGTTTGGTATTTTTTGTTAACTAACCAAACCTGACTGCCTTTCTCAAATCAGATTCGCAAATTAGCTTGAAAACAATTGACAATTGTCAATACATACTTTAAGATCAAAACACGCAAAAATTAACTTATAATATAATCAATAATATCAACAGAATGTTAAAAATAGAAATATTAAACATGTCTACATTTTACATCCACTGCTGATTAGCATGCCAGCAGTGTTCAGACCATCATGTCTTATAATACACCTTTGTATCTTAAACAGCTACCTATCATCCATATACCCATAGTCTAGTATAAGAGGAAAAGAAGTGATGACGCCACATCTTGCCAGTGATGCCATACCTGATAAATGGAGCGGTAATCATAATGTTTCATTACTCTCTGGGCAAAGATCAGGTTGCGTTCAATAGCAATGAAAAGAAACAATAGCAGCAAAACTCTGCTAACATAACATCTGCCATCCAGCACTGGAGCTGCTCAAAGTTTTCAATCAATCATTTAATCAATCTTTTTAAGGAAGCCTGTATTTCAAGGTTTGATATGATATGAGTGAACAACAACTTCCAGATAGTTCATTTTTAATTCTGTACATCACTTTAAGTTGCAGATCACCACTGCTGAGGAGTCACGCTTATGTTGACTATAAAAATCATCGACAAGTAATTTAAAAGTCGACACGTCGTTGGAAGTTTTGTAAGATTCTGAAAGACGCAGAAGTAAGTAGTAGGTAAGTAGTTTAACGCGACGAAGGGTGTCCAAATTCGAAGACTCCTCGAAATATGGCCAAAAAAATCCACCCTCTTTTTCCCTAGATTTGATTGATGGGTCGGGTGTATCCTTCGTGGCCCAACCTATCCCAGAATTCATAGCGCGGCCCAGTTTCCAACAACGGCAGCAGCTACTTAGTTTTAATATTACTCTTTCTGGGTCGCAAAACTACATTCTCGCCTAAAAATATCTTAAAGGTTTATTTTGCAACCCTGAAAATCTGGGACTCGCCACCATTTGACCTTAGAACTGAAGAAGCTTCTCGGATGAGAGGTGAAACGTCTTCAAGCAACTTAAAGAAGTCCAGACGCTTTTCTTTGCAAGTTCCTTTGACTACGATGATCTGGATGACTGAGAACCTTCACAGACAACCCAGAAAGAGTGTAAGAGTAACAAACTTTTAAGATATTTTCAGGCGAGAATGTAGCTGTGTAAGCTTCAAATATCTGCTCAATTTACCAAGACATCACATATTTGCAAAAGTGCTCCGACGTTTTCGGAGACGCCTGTTACGCACCAGCTTGATAGCTGACCAGGAGGTCAAGACTCACTAGAGCCGGCGAGAACAGTCAACCCCCGGCACATCATTTTCGACTCCCCCACGATCTTTTGCTACTCAGCTTAAACATATATAAGTCACTTAGATAACTTAAAAATGTCATTGTTTGGATTTTTTCAGTGTTTTTTATTTGTTCCTGAGTAAATCAGTTTGGTTGAGATTAAAGTTATAGTCTTCACACAGCTGAATAAACGTCAAACAGAAAACTGATTAAACAGAAGTGTGAGATGGTCGAGAATTTACTCCAATGTCCTGTTAAATTTTAGGGAGCGAGAAGCAGACGGCTGAGTTTATTAAACTCCACTGAGACAATCTGCAAATTTCATTAAAGGTTTAATAAACTATCATCTTGTCTTTATTTTAAGTTAGCACATACCTTAAACACTTCAAGCTGTAAGCTAGAGCTGGGCGATAGAACGATAACGATATGTATCGCGATATAACTTTTACTCGATAGAGAAATTAAACTATCGCGATAGACCTCGCCACTCTTGTCCTCTTAAAAAAAAAAAAAAAGGTCAGCCCATCCAAATTAAGTAGCGCAGAGCCGAACCAATCACAGCCGCAGCATCACGTCGCGTGACTTGTTATGTACAGCACAGGTGCCAAGCCACACATGTGTATTTGTTTGGGAAGCAGCCAGCGACCGTACCGCCCGGGTAATGGAGGAAATGTGTGCGCCGACTAGAAAAATCAACCGAGCGTGACCGAAGAGAAAACAGATGATGGTTCCAATGCCGGAGAGATTGTCGAACGGAAGAGCCATAGAAGTTCCGTAGTGTGAAGGTATTTCGGCTATTTCAAGTCTGACAAAAAACAGAGTAGCGTACACTGTAAATTGTGCCGAAAGCAAGTCTGGAAATACAATAAACTGGTGCATGCGTCACACTGTGCGCCACGTTATTGTTTCGGTGAAATGAATTTCTACAATACTGTTACTGTTAATTCTACTCTCTGCAGTGTTTAAATGCTTACATATACACACAGTTACTGTCCCTCCACACATACGACTGGGTTCTGCTTCTATGCCCCAGCTTTGTTTACTTTTTCCCACCGAGGCTTCTAGACTTCTGATTGGCCAACATTTCGGCACGGTTAGGAATCTAGCGCCACCTGCTGCTTTGGCATGTTCATAGCAGCGTTTTCCTTCATTTCTGCCTTTATGTGTGGACGGGATTATTTTTTAAAACGAAAACGGAAAATCTCTGTTTTCAAAAATACCCGTGTACGTGTGGACGTAGCCTCAGTCTCTGACTGGAAGCGCTAATTCGTCATTCGGCTTTTGTCAGACATCTACCCTGTTGAACTTCATCCATCCATTCGCGTCCGCTTAATGGATGAACTTATTATGGGAAATAAATATTTAAATAAAAACAAGCTGCTGATTATTTCACATTTTACTTGTGAGCAACGGCACATTTAAATCTTACAAATATAGTTATTTGGCTTATATCGTGATAGATATCGTTATCGCCTGAAATGAAAAAAACATATCGTGATATGAAAAAATCGTATATCGCCCAGCTCTACTGTAAGCTAATGATAGTTATATAAGAGCAAACACATGCTGATGCAATAAGCTGTACGGTATACATCCAATAGATGCACGATTTGATTAGTCGACTAATTGCAAAAATAATCGGTTGCTAGTCGACTATCAAAATAATAGTTTTGGCAGCCCTAGTCTACCCCTACAACAGGAAATATCAAACAGCTCAAAATATTAAAGCCAGAAGACAGCACACCAGGTAGGAGTGCAACCAGGAGAAAGCTTATTGTGTTTTTTGATCTTTACTGTTTCTGAACACCTTTGAGACCAGAGGTAAGCCGGTTTTCTACAGCAATGTCTCAAGGGAGAACATTGCAGAATATGTTTTTTGGCCACACCAATGCAGCCCTCTTCATTCTTTCTCCAAGATGTAACTTCTTTCATCTTCATCTTCAAAACGGTTTCTAACCCATAAGATTGAAGATGGGTCAAACTACCATCTTCGGGGCAGGGCAGAGTGGGGAAAGGTGGGGCTGTGGTGGTAGAGCAGATCAGCTACTGATTGGAAGGTTGGTGGTTCGAACCTTTGCTTCCCCAGTCTGTATGCCAAATATCCTTGGGAAAGATACTAACCCCAAGTTGCCCTCCGATGCGTCAACTGGAGTGTGAATGTTGGTCAGATTGTACTTGAGGTTAGAAGTCCTTGTGTGAGTGGGTGAATGAGGAATGTTGTAAACAGCGCTTTGAGTACTCCAGGAGAGAAGAAAAGCGCTATATAGGAATCAGTCCATTTGTCACTGTCCATTTCCAAAATGCAACATAATAAATGCTATGAAACTATGTTTTCATTCTCCAATTTTACCGTTTTTTATTAATCACTTACCTCCTGTGCAGTGTGGTTTGTTCAGAAAAGGATGAAGAGTCTTCAGCACCATCAAGCTTATTCACATCATCCTGAACATCCTCTGAGGCCTGGAAAGTTTTATAGTTTTTATTTAGTATGGGTTTTGTAATTAATGGTTTCTGACAATGCCATGTGGAGGGATTAAGAAGGACAAAAGAAAAATCTACAAAGGCAGAGATGCTGAATCTGACACAGTACCTTCAATCGAACAAAGAGGGTAGCACTCCCAGTTGACTGGACAGCCTCTTTGATCTCCTCAGTTGTCAGTGACTCCATATTTAGAAGCTCTAGTATCTTGTCGTCATTAGATATCAGGAGCTCCAGAGGTTCAGCAGCAGCCAGCTGAGGGAAGGTTGACCTCAGCTGAGCTAGGAAGTCCGCCTCCTGAAGACCTCGAGGAACCTGCAGCTCATGAGGCAGGTAATTCTGAAACACTGAGATAAAACAGGAAAGAGTGTTAAGTTGCCAGCTAACAGGGAGCATCACACCAAAACCTGACAATTTCATTCAAAAAACAAGAGCTCAGACGTCTTAGACAGTCTGTTATTAGCTGCAAAGCAACTACAATATTTATCAGATATTTGCATTAAAATGGTCCAAAAGGCTCCAAGAGCACAAACACAATCCAGAGGTCCAGCTGAGGTTCAGGAAGCAGCTGCAGCCACCTGTCAGTCAAAGAGACCATGTCCCCAACATTAAGCCTTTCCACTGACAGCCTTGCTTGAAATCCTCTATCACGGTACCACTACCAAAAAAATGACGACCATCAGCATTCTGAATGACTGCTGTGTAGTGGCTCGTGCTCCAGTAATCATGAAGTGCTTTGAGAAACTGGTCCAAACTCAGGTCATCACAAGCTTCCCAAACCATCCAGCAGCATGCCTACAGAGCTCTACAAAGGACCTCATAGTCACAAATGTGTCCTGACCACCCTAGGAGCTATGCTCGGCTACTCTTTATTATTTCAGCTCAGCATGTGATCACAGTGGTGATAACTGAATATTGTACTGGAGAGATAAATTAAAAGGCTTTGAACTTACGATTGGGCGAGATGGTATCCATCTGAGGGTCCTCCACAATGTGGACCTTGAGATGCATGTGGGTGTCTGATTGACTGATCTGAGGTTTCTCAGACTCAACTCTGGGGGAAAAGAACAAAATTGGATTGAACTGTTGACATAAATAACAAACTCTAACAGCAGCAGCTTACTCTTTTCTTTGACTCACTCAGTGGTCAGTGTGGTTGGATCCAGGCTGGGTGGAGGAAGTTCAGCAGCAGTAGCATCTTCTCTCTGTAGAGACCTTTTCTCTGGACCCTAAATTTCCACCAAAAAGTAAAAGAATAGTTTTTTTTATCTGATTTTTCATTCAGAACAACATGCTCCACATTTAAACAATGTTTTCACCCTGATGTTAAATTGGTTCTTGCAGTACCTTCAGTCGGATGTAAATACCAGGATTCCTAGTCCTGTTCTTGCAGATCTCTTCTGCAGTCATACTCTCCACTCTTGGAGGAATTAGATTGTGGTTGCGACCAATTAAGATGGTAAAAGGTTCACCAGCAGCCAGCTGAGGGAAAGTGGACCTCAGCAGAGCCAGGAAGTCAGCCTCCTGAAGACCACGAGGAACATTCAGCTCATGAGACGGGTGATTCTGACACACTGAGAGAAAACAGAGAAGCTCACAAAGTCAGAATCAGAATGTCTTTTTTGTCATTGTCACAGGTAGAACGAAATTAGAATTGATCTCTGATCAATGCATCATCCATACAAATGTAAAATTTTAATAAAATTTGTAAAATAAAATCAATCCCCACACACATGCCTCAGTCAGTGCATAGATCACTTCAGGAGTAGCGTGATGGACATTTTTTAGTAGCAGCATCAAGACATATTTTTCTGATTTGGTAAAAGCTGTGTTTGAGTCTGTTTGTCCTTACGCTGATTGCTTTGTACCGTCGGCTCGAGGGCAACAGTTCAAACAGGGAGTGGCCAGAGTGTGAGGTATCTTTTATAATGTTACGAGGTTTTTTAAGACAGCGGGTAGTGTGACTACAGTCAGAGCAGTTTCAGTCATCGACAAGTTAGAAGACATGTTTTCCTGAATCAACTAATAAACGGGTAACTCAGCAAACCTGCACAGAGAGCTGGATGACTAGTACGTTGGACTCTTGAGACATGCAAAGCCTCTAAATCAAGTTAAGGAGCTAATAGGAGGTAGAAAATGTTAACGGCATCAAATCCTTCCAAAGATCTTTGAAGGTTAAAAGCTTTAAACTTACTTATATTTGTGATCTTATCAATCTTAGGGTCCTCAAGGATGCGGATCTTAAGTCTTAAATCTTCTGGACACAGTGACTGTTGTATGTAGAGGGTAGATCCCCGAGAAACTCTGATGATTTCCTCTGGTGTCACAGAGTCTCCTTTCAGAGGTTTAAGTTTGTTGTGCTTGGCCCTTAAAAAAAGGTCAAAAGGTTCATCTCCAGCCAGCTGAGGGAAGGTAGACCTGAGTAGTTTCAGGAAGTCAGCTTCCTGCAAACCACGATGAACCTTCAGCTTGTGAAGCGGGCACGTCTGAAACACTAGAACACAGAGGAACGCTGAGAGATCAGTTCAATTTTTCCAGTATTAGGAGAAAGAAATCATCACTTTCCTGTTGTACTTTCACTAAATGTTCGTCTGATACTACTTTCCAATTGAATCTGGAATCTGCTTTCACAGTTTGGAGGTACCAGTGGTGACATGGGCTCCTAATGTTCCAATCATCACAGTGAAATCTTCCACATCTGCTCCAGAGTTTCATGTGTACTGAGGTGCTTTCATTGTGTTTTATAATGAAAATATTCTTGGTATTATAGTACATATTTCTTTATTAATATGTTACAATTCTTAGACCAGGGAGGAGTGCAGAAAGATGAAGATGTCCATGTAGAGTGCAGGGAGGCAGCACAAACGGTATATGTGTCCTGACCAATGTTCCCTCTAATTTTTCATGTGTCTGAGCGAACACACAAACTCCCTGAGCGATCCCTTGGACCATTGTGAGCGACATCAGACGTGTGCACTGTGGTCATGCCAGCATCGAATCCATCCAAGTTACATGGTTTATTAAAATAATCAAATTATAGCATTTACATTTACATACAAGCTCTGACTTGTATTATGGGTATGAGTCTGGTCTGGGAGATAGTCCTGTAACGCTCTGTCTGCAAAATACAGTTGATGTCGGGCAGTTAATTATATAGTTACTTCTTCAAAAAAGTTACTGAGTTTTGCAAACAAAGTTTTTTGCAACTGTTTACCTAAAAATGCAACTAAGGCATTTTTAAAAAAAACCATTTCAAACTATTTACGGAACAGTCAGCTGTTCTGCATCAAATTTGATGCCCCCCCATTCCTAAACCACTAAATGCCATATTGCCATATCATGTTTTGATTGGTGGACATGGTACATTTTTCGACGAATGGGAAAGGGTGGGGGCTTTTTGGTTTTGTCTTTGCTCACAGGTGGAGAGTGCTTTCGAGCGTTTTCCTTATAAAACGCAGTTTTTACCATTTCTTCCCGCAGTAAATATAAACAATGATAATATTCAGGAAGAAAACCAAACATTGCAGATATTTTTGTCATAACTCTGGTTTTACGTGGCCTATCAACACAATTTAAAAACTGGTATAAAGTCCACACTTGTTCCGTCAATTGTTCTGTCTGTCCTGCTCACATCTCCAATGGTTATACACTAACGTGGCTTCACGCCACATCAGTCACGCCACTTTGCTAGCTAAAACACCGGTGTCGACACATAAGGACGCCGTCACAGCCTGTTAGCAACGTTGATTAGCTGCGTATATACGAATGTGAAT